TCAATGCCAGTACAAAGACAATTCAATGGGAAAAGAAGTCTCAAAAAATGTTTTATTTTGTTCTTTACATTTTTTTTTTTGTGGTACTGGGGTTTGAACTCAGGGCTTCATGCTTGCTAGGCAGGTGCTCTACCACTTGAGCTACATACCCCTGACCCTTTTTGCTCTGGTTATTTTGGAGATATGGTTTCGCTTTTTGCCCAGGACCACAATCTTCCTATAATTCCAGCTACTCGGGAGATGGAGATAGGAGGATGGCAGTTCTAGGTCAGCGTGGGCAAAAGTGTGAGACCCTATCTGGAAAACAAACTAAAGGCAAAAGGACTTGGGGCATGGCTCAAGCAGTAGAGCACTTGCCTAGGAAAGCTAGAGGCCCTGAGTTCAATCTCCAGTATCGCCAAAAAGAAACATTATGTTCTTGCATAATTGCCCTGGCTAGAAGCTCCAGTACAGTACTGAATAGGTCTATACCTCAATCTTTTTTTTTTAATTTAAAATTTTTTTTTGGCAGCACTAGGATTTGAACTCAGGGCTGCAAACTTGATAGGCAGGCACTCTACCACATGAGCCACTCCGCCAGCCCTTGCTCCTAATATTAAAGGAAAACTTTCAGTCTTTTACCAGTAAATATGATGTTAACTATGGGATTTGTTTGCAGATTGTCTTTACAGTTTGAGGAAATTCTCTTGTATTCCTAGTTAGTGTTTTTATGATGAAATGGTGTGTTAGGTTTTGGCAAATGTTTTTTCTGTATCTACTGAGCTGTCTTAGTCCCTTAATTTGGAAGTGTTTCGTAGCTCTTCTTTGTCTTTCATGACACTGACGTTTTTGGAGCGCCCAGGTGTTACTGGGCCCTCTCTGGAGTGACCACAGGGTAATGTTCTGACAGCAATACCACGCCAGAATGTTGTGCCCTTCGCAGCGCGTCAGTCGGGAATTTAGACTAGCTTTTCCCACTACTGGGGATATTGACTTTGACCACCTAGTTAAGGCACCATCTGCCAGGCTTATCCCTCATTGAGCTACCACTTTCTCCCTTTGTAAATAATATATCCATTAATAAGTAATTTATGGGGTACGATGTTTTGGGACTGTGGAGATTCTGTTCTTCATTAAACACACTCATTTCCTATCAGGATTCAGTGATGATGATGATGACTGCAAATGAAGATTTTCTAACTCCTAAATTTCCTCTACTATTAAGAGTTGGTGTAGCTGTTGGTTTTTTTTTTTTCAGTACTGGGGCTTGAACTCAGGGCCTGTATCTTGAGACACTCCACCACCAGTCCCTTTTTTTTTTGTGGTGTTTTTTTAAGTGCTTTTTCTTTTCTTTTGGTGGGACTGGGATTTGAACTCAGGACTTTGTGCTTACAGAGTAGGCTTGAGCCACACTTCCAGTCCTGTGGTGGTTTTTTTTGAGATAGGGTCTCATGAACTATTTGCCTAGGCTGGCTTTGAACCATGATCCTCCTGAGCAACCAGCCCCCATCTTAAAGTCTTTTTTTTTTTTTTTTTTGGCAGTATTGAACTCAGGGCTGTTAGGTAATCGCTTTACCACTTGAGCCACTCTGCCAGCTCTAATTTTGAAATTACCTATTAGGTATCCAAGGGATGTGTTGAGTGGGAAGTATGGAATTCAGGGAAAGATACAGGTTATAGATTTATGAGCTGTCTGTCCATACAGCCAAAAGGCAGCTGAGGACCCCCAAAGGTTCACGTCACCTATTGGCCACAGGGGCTTCGGTTAGGCCTAGTGTCTGCTGACAGTTTGAGATAGACCTTCGCCTAGTGAAGACTAGGTCCAGGAGTTCTATGGCTCATAGAGATTGGGACTGAGGACCTCCGTTTCTTGGGAAGCTGGGTCTGTGGTAGGAAATACCCCTGATCCATTTAAAGCTGGCACTAGTGGGAACCTTCTTACTCTGGCATTCAAGGTCTGCCCAGCACAAACCCTCTGAGAGCGGCAGCATAGCCACAGGCTAGCAGCATAGCCTCGGGTTTCTGCCTCTGTACCCACTGTGCCCTTCACTGCCACTACCAGGAGAACTTCTGCTCTTTCTTCAAAGCCCAACTCAAAGGTTGTCTTCTCTGCAAAGTACTCCCCCCAAGGTCATTCCTTTAGGAAGTAGCTCTCCCTATTTCCTGTGCTGGTAATCAAACCCAGGGCTTTGAGCTGACAGAGTGACCTGAGTGGTATAGTGCCTGCCTAGCAAGTGCAAGGCCCTAAGTTCAACCAGTTTGAAGTTTGCTAGTATCAAAAACCCAGGGCTTTGTGCATGCTAGGCTCGTACCCTACCACTGAGCCACGCTCCCATCCCCAAACACTGTGGTATCTAACATATGCATGCTTAGTGTAAGTCATAGTTATCACAACTGCTTGGTTTCCCTTCTGCAGTGCTGGGCTCCGACCCAGGGCCATTTGCATGCTAGGCACGCACTCTACCCTTGGGCTGCATCCCAGCCCTAGGAAACAGTTTTTGAGGCCCTACTCTCTGCTAGGCACTGAGTCATGGTGCTCAGAAAGTCTACCATCTCCTGGGTGGAGAAAATACTACTCGCATATAGAGTCATCACAGCAGTGACAGCAATAGAGTGGCTGTTGGGCAAGTGGAGAGTTGGGGCTGGCCTGGCCCCGGCCTGGGTGCTAGGGAGGTTTTTCTGAGGACCTCCCACTGACCAGGAGCTGAGGGAAGACTGGACACTACTAACTGTTGGGGGGGCAGAGGGCAGCGCGCAGAGGAGGGAGGCTGTCATTGGAGCTGCAGCTAGCCTCTGAGGCCAAGGGGAGGTGGCTGGATTTTCCCCTGTAGGCAGTGGGCAGGCTGCGAAGGGCTCTGAGCAATGATGTGACCCCATGGGAGTTTTGAAACGTTCCCTTTGCTGCCTTGCGATGGGGCAGGAGATCAGTCCAGATTCAGGTGGGCAGGAGACACCTTTAGCGATCTCTTTAGAATTCAACTCCACTGTTGCTGGTAGATACCATCTTGGTCACTCTACTGCATTTACCCACATGGGCTCTGCAAGGCATCTGGCCCTAAGTTTGTAGGTAACAGTGGCTTTGTCCTGCCATCCTGTCCTCAAGGACCCTGGGCTCTGTGCCACCCCTGGCAGCAGTTGGTGGACTAGGAGCCAGAAAGTACATTACTTGGGCTACCTGCAGTGTGTTTGGCACTTTAGGTTATATTAGTGCCTGGAGTGCCCTCCTGGGTAAGGGAGGTACTATCTGGAACATTCCTTTGTTAATTTTTTGTTCTTTTTTTGCGGTAATGAGACTTGAACTCAGGGCCTTCACTTTGAGCCACTCCACTAGCCCATTTTTTTGTGCTAGGACTTTCTGAGATAGGGTCTCATGAACTATTTGCCCAGGCTGACTTCAAACCGCAATCCTCCTGATCTCTGCCTCCCGAGTAGCTAGGATTACAGGTGTGAGCCACTGGTGCTCGGCTTCCTTTGTTAAATTTTGAGGGTGATGATGGTATCATGGTCAGGCAGGCAATAACCTTAGGAGACGCATGGTGTATTTGTGGCGGGGAGGCCCTCCATTACTGCAACAGGAGCATTAGAAGTAGCGACCCAGACTCTGCAGGAGTCTCACCCTGTAACCCTGAACTAAGAGAGCAGGACCTGGTCTAACATTCAAGGTTACTCTTATGCCACAGCAGAAACTCACAGGTTCTGAAGAGCAGAGGCTCCACCCCCAGCTCTAGAAGCCCACTAAGTAGAGCTCGGCCTCCTCCCTTGTTCACTCACTCACACCCTTGGTTGCTCAGTGCTGGATGCAGAAGTGCAGACTTGGCCCAATGCAAAGGGAAACCACTTACTCTTCAAGTCACCCTGGAAAGTAGGGGCTAATCAGAGCCACCCATGGTCACTAATGCTTAGCTGCCACCAACTGGGCCCCAGAGACAAGGGCAACTACTCCAAGTACAGGGGTCCAGCCACAGTTGGGAGGGCTCACAAGGGGTCCAGCTGGGGCAAATATCCTGAGAAAGGGGATCTGTATGTCCCTGGGCCTGAGGTCACTGACATCCTGGCTAGGTTGGGACCAAGGGAGGAGACAGGGTCTCTGTGGCTCCAGAGACCAAGATTCTTGGTCTTACCCTGTAACTCTTTTTTTTTGGTCAAGTACTGGGGATTGAACCCAGGGCCTTATGCTTGCTAGGCAAGTGCTCTACCACTTGAACTGCACACCCAGCCCTTTTGTCCTTTTGTTTTTTGAGATAGATTCTAGCTAACTTTGCCGGGCTGGCCTCAAGCTCACGATCCTCGAGCTCACGATCCTCTTGCCTCCGCCTCCCAATTGACTGGGATTACTGGCATGTGTCACCAACATCTGGCCCCAAAAACCTTCTAAATGACATGTTCCTCGCACCCAGGGATGGCTCCTGCCTGGAATGCCTCTCCCCACCCTCCAGAGCTGGTCAGTACCCACTTGCCCTTTTCATATGCACCAGAACACTCTTGCCCAGACTAGGCTGAGTGGTGCTGCCCTGGTTCCTGCAGCCTCAATGTCCTCTGCCACCTGTTGTAGACTTGAACTCATTCATGCCATACTGTCTTCCATGCACAGCGAGCTCTGTGGGCAGGGCAGGAGTTCCTAAATGCACTCTGGGCACTGCATGTTGGCAGTTGCTGGTGGATACTGGGCACCCGGTCCCAGAGGATGTGCAGATAGGCTGGGTCTATGAGTTGTCTACCCCTCCCAGCTTCTGTGGCGGCAACTATGGATATACTTATGGAAATAAGAAGTGCTTATTGCTCCAGGAAATGGGTGGGTTAAACATTGTACACTCCCTTCCCTGGTGGAGGGTGAGCTCTGTTTTGTGTCCAGGATCATTGGATTGGCATCTCACAGCTAGAATTAACTGATGCACTCAGCTGGTTCTCCCAGGAGCTGCCCTTTGGGAGAGGGTGGTCTCACTCGGTTTCCTGGGGGCGTTCATGCTACCCTCCTTACCCCAGCCTGGCCCGTCACTCTACAATAACACTAGGAGCCCTCAGTACACGTTACCTCATTTATTCTCACAACATGCCTGTGAGGTAGGGAGGGGCAGGGACTGACCCCGTTTTACAGAGGAGGAAGTTGAGGCACACAGAGGTCAAGTGACTTGCCCAAGGTCACAGACAGCCAAGCTGGAATGGGGCCCCAGAGCAGGCCCTCGGTTCACCTGGGGGAACCCCTGCAGCATGCGCCAGATGAGCTGTCCCCAGTGCCCTGGAGTCATCCACACAGTACAGAGCAGCCCCTGGTGTGCTGAACTCTGCTGGGCATGGCCCCTGCCCGGTGGCCTGCCCCAGCCTCACCTTCCCCACCTGGCCTTATAGGCCCTGCCTTTGCAGCTCAGGGCTCGGGACACCCTGGGAACGGGGATGAGGGGGGCGGTGGAGAGAGGAGGATGACTGGGATAAAAAATACAACAGAACAGAAAACTCAGAGGCTGGGCTGATGGGCCCAGGGAGGGGGTGGGAACCAAAAAGAAAAAAAAAGGGGGGAGGCTGCTTACACACAAGGTATATATTTTTACACACACTTGTACACACACCTAGATATAGTACATGTAAAAATATATGCTATTCACAACTCCGCCTCCTGCCAGGTGCCTGAGAGCCGTGGCGGCGGCGCTGGTGGGCATGGGTGAGCAGCTGGGCGTTTGTTAAATATACACTCTAAGATCTATGTGCATATGTACACATACGTACAGACACCGCCACCTGCCCCCAGGGACTGGACACAGGCGAGGCCAAGGACAGACAACCCCCCAGGAGCCACTCTGAGTCCTAAATTTTCTTTTGCTGAAGGAAGAAGGGGCTGGAGAGAATAAAAAGATTGGAGTCTGGAGCGTGGTAACCATGGCTTTCCCTCATTTCCCCAAAGACCAGCACCTTCCTCATCTGCTCAGAGGTGAGTCAGCCTGCCGCTGCACAGGCGATGGATGGCAGCGGAGGGAGGCACCTCGGATGCGCACGTGGGTGAGGCTGTGTGAGCACTTGGCGGGGAGGGAGGGATGTGTGTGTCCATCTCTCTGTCCTCTGGGCCCTCAGCCTCAAAGGCTGAGAACCAGAAATCCACTGGCCATGATGTGACCCCTGTGTGAGCTCTGAAGGGAAAAAGAAAAAAGTGAGAATGAAAACGCCAAGGTCAGAGCAGGGTAGCTGGGAAGGAGGAGGAACATGGCAGGGGCCCAAGGCTGTCCTTGGACTGTCGTCGTCTTGTAAACAAGCTAGTTGAAGTTCTCATCAGACAGAACAAGTAAAAAGACTGTGTCTGGAGGCTGGGTCGGGGAGCTGCCGAAGTCCAGTTGTCTGGTCCGCCACAGCCAGCAAGAGGGAAAAAAAGTTTTTTGGAGTTTTGTGGGTTTTGTTGACTTTGTGTGTGAAGTCTTCATAACCTAAAGCTGGAGGGACCCAAAAAAGCCAAATTGTGAGCCCTTGTATGCGTCAATTTGAAAGTTGGCTCAGGGTCTCTAGAGAGAATAACCATACTAAAGGTTGAGAAAATTTTGTTCCATTTGCATTCAGTTTTTTTTTTTTCTGTGTTTTTTTTTTTAATGATTTAAAATTGCTCGCTTCCTCCTTCATGGTCTCAGAGCCTGGTCTGGGCCTCGGGGACATAAATCTCGATGCTATCCGCGCTCTCTGTGGCGGAGTTCTGTCGCACAGACGCTGCCCGCTTGGCTGCCAGGAGTCTCTTGCGGGCCTCCTGACGCTGCTTGTCCCCCGCCTCTGAGGCCTTGTCGCGGCTCACTGCCGGCTTGGATTTGGCTGGCTTCTTTGGGACTGGAGGGGGTGGTTTCTTCTCTTCCTTTATTGAGACAGTGAGGAGGAACAAAAATAAAATAAAGGTGCCACATTTTGTGTGGCACTACCCCCTACTGTATGCTGGCAGCTGGAGTTTCCCCGTCCCACCTTCCCGCACAGGCACAAGCTACACACCAGGAAGTCACAGAAGCAATGATGGTGGGAGTAGCACAAGGCATAGGAGCAAAAGCGAGCTTAGAATTCTAACATGGAGGATGACAGGTCACCTGTTCCCACCCCTGCTTTGAGCCACTAGGAGCCTGAGACTCAGGCAGGAACTAGGCTGAGTCACCCAGCCATAAAGGTGACTTAAATTTAGGGCTTCCAACTCCCTGGTCACATTTCACATGCTGCCCTAGGAATAGAAGTGACAAGTGCCAACAATCCAACGTAAGTCACTGGGTTCTATAGGCTTGGAGAAGGCAGCCTGAGCCTTAGGAAAGCGGCGCTGCCACAAGGAGGTGGAACTGGGGTCCAGACCCCAGGACCCTAGCAACAGAGCCCCAGGAGAAGGGCCATTTTCCTGCCTCCGTTAGTGCCTGTAACTGTGGGCATGTCTCCCCAAGGACCCATGTCTGGACATGCAGGACAGGATGGCATGCTTTGGGGGCAGCCTCCGCTACACAGCGAGCGGCATGCTGGGCGAGTGCCAGGCATGGACCCCGCGCGGTGATGGACGTGAGCCCCAGCTCAAAGACGACACATGGAGAAGGGAGCCAAGCAGCACTGACCGATGTGGGCAGCGTTACTGCCGACCAGGAATTTGTCCCCGGACTTCCCCTCCGCACTGCTCCATGCTCACCTTCCTCTTCTCGGGGGTCTCCACCAGCTGCCAGCTGTTGGCCTTGAGGTGGTAGAGTTCGTCAAACTTCATGCTGATGTCCTCGATGGACAGCTGTAGCAGGTCCCAGAACCCTGCCAGGTCCTGGGCTGTTGGACGTGGGTTGGCATCAGGGTTCTGTGGGGCAGAGGGAGATTAGTGGGGCCAGAAAGGCAGAAGCATATCTTTCCTCGCCCCACACATGCTAGGCGTGGGCAGGGACTCTTGAGGCTGAATCCTGCTCCCTTATTCCCAGTATTGGGTCAGGATCTGTAGGACGGAGGGAAGGGCGCTCCCAGTCAGTACCAGCACCAGTGGCGAGACTCCTTGGGAACCATGTCCTCATGAGACTAAGCCCTGCACGTACATGTGTGTGGAGGCCATCACTAGGGCCACCAACACAGGGCCATGGTACTCATGTGCTCATGTATGCCAGGCAGGCAAGCCCAGTTGTCACTGTATAGGGAGGAAACTCACTCTTGGCCAGGGTGTCCCCGGGAGGTCACAGCTGGACTCATTCCTGGGTGAGCATGATCACAGACTCCATGTTGTTTCCTTCCCATCCTGCTGTTCCATGATGACATAACCCCCACTGCCTACAGGTTCCGCACTCTCTGTCTACTGTCCCCACCTCTGGAAGCTCACTGCTGGCTCACTGGAGAGATCCCTCCCAGAGGAAATGCGGCCCAGGACTCTGTTTCTGCCCTGGCAGGGAAGACCCCTCCATCAGTGGGGAGAGAGGGAAAGCAATCAAGCCAGTGGGGACCTTTCCTTAGTTCTTACCCAAGTGTCCTCTTGGATACAGAACAGACTTCACACAAATAAGACATGGCTAACGGCTGCTGCTCTCATGTGGCTGTCTCACAGTGAGCTCAACACTTTGCCTCCTGGCCCTTTTTAGTGCTCGCACCACCTTTTCCCGTGCCACAAGGAAGCAGCACCTCTCCATGCTATGGAGGAGGTCACGGGCTGTGGTGGGCTGCCCCAGGCTAGAAGCCCTGCATGGAGGAAGGAGAGTCACACTCACCAAGTTCTGCTCACAGAGGCCCCGGAACTGCTGGAATTTCTGGGACATCAGGAGCTGTGCACTGCCCACGGCACTGAGGACTTTCCCTAACACTGAGGGAGAGAGGTGAGAAAAGACTGGTTTAGCAGAGTGCAGGGTTTGCTGGGGTGGAAGGTGGGTGATTGGGGGGGGTGGTCATTTTATTTATACATTAATCCACTCTCTCTAGGAAAAATACAAAGAATGCAGAGAAAGTGAATCCCACCCCCTAGTTCCTAAGAACATTTTATGGCAATAAATTAGAAAACTGAACTTAAGTGGAAAAAATTTCTGGAAAAACAAAAGTTGCTGCTATGTATGCAAGAAGAAATAGAAGCCAGGCATGGTAGTGCATAACTATAATCCCAGCACTCAGGCTGAGGCAGGAGGATCATGAGTTTGAGGACATTCTGGGTTGCACAGGGAGACATCTCAAAAAACAAACACAAAATTTTCAATTAAACAATTGGAACAGCCATTAAAAATCTTCCCTGAAAAGGAACTTTGCTCCCTTGTCTCCAGTGTTGGCAGTACCTACATGAGTGGTGAAGCCACTAGTCAGTGTCAGACTCTGTGGGAGATCCTCAGGAGAGGGGCCATCCCCATCAAGTGAGGTTCCTACAAATCCTTCAGAGTACAAACAGTTCTGTCCTGCACATTCAGACTGTTCCAGAGATTAAGCAGACATGGAAAATGATACAACTTATTTTAGGAACCCTGCAGGCAGACCCACATGCCAAGAACAGAGTGCTCTATTATTAACATAAGCATGAAACCTCCTATAACACATAAGCAAACAGAGTCCAACCGAAAACTTTAAAAAATAAGCATCCTAGCCGGTTGCTGGTGGCTTACGCTTGTAATCCTAGCTACCCAAGAGGCAGAGATCAGGAGGATCGAAGTTTGAAGCCAGCTGGGGCAAAGAGTTTGTGAAACACTATCTCGAAAATACCTATCACAAAAAAGGGCTGGTGGAGTGGCTCAAGGTGTAAGCCCTGAGTTCAAACCCCAGTACCACTAAACAACAACAACAAAAATTAGCAATGAAAACTAGAATATGACATATCTATATTGGAAAAGATATTTTTAAAAATGAGAGTTCTATAAAAAAGTAAAATAAAAGACAATTCTGTATTGGGTGTGGTGGTGCACACCTGTAATCCCAGCACTTGGGAAGCTGAGGCAGGAAGATTGTGAGTTCCAGGCCAGCCTGGACTATACAGTGAGATCCTGCCTCAAAAAAAAAAAAAAAAAAACAAAAACCAACCAACAAAACAAACAAGATAATTCTGTTTTTAGGAAACCACCCACACTCATTTTATAAAACTAGAAAAACTAGACAACCTTTATACTACAAGACAAGGATGAAAAAGGAAAATTATAGGCCAAATTTTCATGAACAAAACCAAAATTATTATATCAAATATCAAGCCCAGAAACATAAAATGATAACATCATGATTAGGCTGGGATTATACTGTGATGGCAAGACTGATTCTGCATTAGGAAATTCTAATGAGTTTTGACTGCAGACAGAACTCATCAGACAAACTGAACCCTCCCACCAAGAACAAATGAAAACACTAGATAAAACATTAAGAATAGCAAATTTCTCTTTCAAGGTCATGAGAAATTACCAAAGGATTTAGGAGACTTAGATCCCAGTGAGAGTGTGGGATTCTATGTTACCCAAGACATTACCCAGTTTATCAGCAGAATCAGGCTAAGAGGCTGAGCAGAACTTGTGGCAGTCACAAGGATGGGGACACAACTGGAACTGACAGTTACCAAGCACGTGAGATGGCAAGGAGGGTAAATTAAGCCAAGCAAAGCTGACAGCAGCCTCAAGGTGTATGAAAGAGAAAGACGGGAGCTCAGAGTGCCCTGGAGAAGCGTCTTGGCAAATACCACTGGCTGTCCCTGAAGGATGTACTCAGGGTTATGGGCAAAATACAAAACAGACAAGCTGTCCTAAAAACCCAGCTCTCACTCAGCTCAATCCCATGTGGACTAACTGATCTGGTTCCACTCTAATTGCCTAGAAGAAGCAAAAGTAAATCCTTTCTTGTTGAGCAGAAAATCATCCCAGTCTTAAATTATCTCTACAGTTTTTATAGATAGATTCTGACACTGAATTAAAAATTACCAAGCACACCAGGAGACAGGACCAAATGACTACATATCAAAAGAAAAAAAAAAAAACAGAACTGGAGGGGTTATAGATATCAATTACTAACAAGGGCTTTAAAATAACTATGGTAAGTAAAAGAATGTACAAGACAAGGAATTATTAGAGAGCCAGAGGTTTTAAAAATTTTTTTTGGTGGTACTGGGGTTTGAACTCAGGGCCTCACATTTGCTAGGCAGATGCTGTACCACTTGAGCCACTCTGCCAGCCCTGTTTTAGTGTTGGGTACTTTTGAGATAGGGTCTCCTGAACAACGTGTCTAGGCTGGCCTCGAATGGTAATCCTGCTGATCTCTGCTTCCAGAGTAGCTAGCATTACGGGTGTGAGCCACTGGTGCCTGGCTAGAGAGCCAGAGTTTATAAAGAATATCAAATAAATGATTTAGAACTAAAAAAGAAATTAACTGAAATTAGGAATCCAACAGATGGGTTTAATAGATCAAAACTGAACTAAAAAATAATTCAGTACGCAATATCCAAGACTGAGTCCTGAAGGGGGGGATAAGAAACAAGTAAGGCACAGCAGCCTAATATATGTGTGATTAGAGTCCACAGGCAGAGAAAAATAAAATGGAGCAGAAAACTGTGGACTGGCCACAACTTTTCTGAAACCAATAAAAGATACTAAAATCTAAGATTTGAGAAGCCCTGTAAGCATCAGGTGGGAAAAAATACAAAGAAAACCATACTTAGATACCATAGAAAAGCTGACTAAACCCAAATATAAGGAGGAAAAATTTAAAGCATATAGAGGGGAAAAAATGAAACAGATCAGTCTTCAAACGAGGGGCAGGGCTGGGTACTGGTGGCTCATGCCTGTAATCCTAGTTACTCAGGAGGCAGAAAGCAGGAGGATTCTTGTTTGAAGCTAGCCCAAGCAAATAGTTCATGAAACCCTATCCCAAAAAAATCCTTCAAAAAAAGGGCTGGTGGAGTGGCTCAAGGTGAAGGCCCTGAGTTCAAACCCCAGTACTGAAAAAAAAGCAGCAGGAAGACTAAGGGCTTCCTTTCCAGTAAAGACATTATAAAGTGTTGAAAGAGTCTACACCTTGCCAAAAAATACCATTTAAAAAAACAGGAAAACTCCCCAAACATTTAAAGATAAATATGACAAAATAATCTAAAGGGAGTTCTGTAGGCAGAGGGAGGACGATCCTAGATAGAAGCACAGAAATTAAGACAGGACCAAAAAGCAATAAAAAGAGCAGGGTGTGGTACTGCATGCATGTAATCCTGCTCCTGGGCAGAGGTCTTCAAGTTCAAGTCCATCCTAGTCTACACAGTAGGACCCTGGCTCAAAAACAAACAAAAGAATCAACATGTAGGTAAAGATAAGTAAATACTGATTATGACAATGAGTACATAAAATGTCTTGCAGCATTTAGAATATACACATTTAGACCTGAACTAGCACAGCACAGCATGAAAGTCAAGAGGAATAAATGCAGTCCAGGTGTGTTAAGGTACTGTGTCATCTAGGAAGTGGTCTCTACAGTCTAGTGTGCACTGTTATCTCCAGTCACTCACCAGAACAACTTAATCCACATGAGAAAAGTAGAAAGAAATAATCCAAAAAGAAAGGAGAAAAATCTACTAGTAAAATTCACATTACTAGATTAATGAAAGAAAAACCACATGATCCTCTAAATAGACAGGAAAAAAATCCCCCTTATTTCAATCATTTTCTTAACCAGCATAAGAGTAGCTACAAAAACCTGTAACACTATTCTACTTAGTAGTGCAATGTTAAAAGCAACTTTTCATTTACAAATAAGTTTTGAAATTAGTTAAGAAGATAAAAAGGCTCCCAGATGTAAGATAAACAGAAAGATCAATAGCATTTAATCAACAACAGATAGGAAATGCAGTAACAAAAGACGCCACTTAGAGATGATAATAAAAAAACACAAAAGACACCACTTGCAAAAGCATCCATTACAAATTAAAATACTAATCTAACGATATATATATTTTCTTTGGTGAGACTGGGGTTTGAACTCAGGGCTTTGCACATGCAAAGCAGGAACTCTACCACTTAAGCCACACCTCTAGCCCCTGACAAATATTTTTAAAATTTCAAAACTTGTGTGGATTTTTTTTTTTTTGAGATGGGTGTCTCACTATGTTGCCCATGCTGATCTTGAACTCCTGGGCTGAAGTAATCCTCTTGCCTCAGCCTGCTGAGAGCTGGAGTGCTAGGGCTAAATAGGTAGGGCCTAGAAATTTTAAAAACAAATTGAAAAACATTAAAAAGACCTAAATAGACAGACATGATAGAAAAGATGACAACTTTCTCCAAAGTTCATCTACTAGACTGAATATAATTCCAACCAAAATCTCAACATGGAACTTGAAAAGCTGATTCTAAAATTCATATGGTGCTGAGTGTGGTGGTACATGCCTGTAGTCCCAGCTACTTGGGAGGCTAAGGCAGGAGGACTGCTTGAGGCTATGAGTTTGAGAGGCTACTCTGGGCAATAAATGAGATTTCATCTCAAAAAAATAAAAAAAAATTTATATGAAAGAGAAAAAAAGCAACACTCTTGAAGAGGAATAAATCTGGGGAGACGTGCCCTTCCAATTATCAAGATTCATTTTACAGTTATAAAGATAGTATGAATTGGCCTAGGGAGGGATTAATGAACAGAGCAGAAGGCTCAGATAATACACACGGGAAACATGGTGTTTGTCAGAGCGGAACTGAGTATCAGTAGGGTAAGGATAAACATTTTAAGAAATGACTACCCAATAAACAATGAATGACACAGTTTTACCTCATTCCATAGAAAAATCAATTCCAGAGAATTAAGGACACAAATATGGAAGGCAAAACTTGAAAACTGTCATAAGGAAACAGTAAAATAGCTCTTCGACTTTGGGAGAAAGAT